AGCAAATAAGGAGACAGTAAATGTTCGTTTTTGGAGAAGTTACCAGGAAAGAGAAGAAGCTATGACATGGGTGAGGGAGTTACAATGCAAGAGTGAGAGATTTTATTTTTGTTTTCATTCTAGTGTTGTGCCAAGAAAACTGAATTGTTGAAGAAGTTATATTATTGTGTAACAAACATCCCAAATTTAGTGGGATAAAACAACTTGGTCGTGGATTTTATGCTCATGGATTGAGTGGGAGAGCACAGTGATGGTGGCTTGTCTCTGTCACATGGTGTTTGGGGTGTCAGCTGGGAAAACTCTGGGCTAGTCTGACTCAAAGCCTGGGGGCTGAAACAGCTGGGGCAGAGGAGTCACTGCTGAAATGAGGGATGTATAAGTGAGGGAGTAAATGCCCTATGGTTTTTACTTAATTCAGAAGGAAGGAGGAGTCTATTGAAACTGAAGGTATGAGGTAGGAGACTGGGGGAGAAAGGTGACAATTTAAAGTACTTTCTAATAGAAAGGAGAGAAACTGGAAGTCACTCAAGCCCAAGAATTTTCTGGGTAATATTTTAGGCTCAGCTAAGTTTTTTGGGGGGGTTTTAAAAAAGATTTTATTTATTTATTTGTCAGAGAAAGAGAGAGAGAACACACAAACAGGGGGAGCGGCGGGCAGAGGGAGAGGGTGAAGCAGGATCCCTGCCAAGCAGGGAGCCTGATGGAGGGCTCAATCCCAGGACCCTGGGATCATGACCTGAGCTGAAGGCAGACACTTAATGGATTGAACCATCCAGGCACCCCTCAGCTGAAGTTTTGAATAATCTGCTCAGTTCAGTTATTTTTACCTTTATGCTATGCTAGTAAAGAGTGGTAGCCAAGCATTTTCCTGGGTTCAGAAGAGTCTGATTACACCCCAGCCCATCCTTGGCTATTTATCCTCTTTCTAGATTTATATGTATCTGGAGAAAGAAAAGCAATAGCTAGACTTTCAACAAGGAGTGAAGAAGGGATACTTACCTAAGCAAAGTGATACCTGGGCACGCTTCATACCACTTTTGACCAGTTTGTGATGTTGTTTATGTGGACATAAGGAGTCTTTTTTTTTTTCCTTTGGGAAAAATTGCCCTATCTCAGGGATGTGAAATAGCTTTATATCATGGAGCAAAGTCTGATCTACTGATGTTGGCTGCCTGCAGTGTTGTGTTGTTTTGTGTTGTGAAGGGGTCTAATATGAAGGCTGAGATTTGGGGATGGGGGTGGTGTGACATGGAAGTGGGACAAAATAAACTGTCAGAGGTATTTGTCATCGATGATGGCAGGTTCAGAGTCAGCATTCACATTTGCCCTTTTCACCAGCTATTCCTACTCATTATCTTTGGAAGGAGATATGAAGGGAATAGTAATAATTATAATCAAAAGCAATAATAGTAACAATGGCAAAGCTCTGTTCATTATACCATGTAATAAATGCACAACGTGACACTTGGTAAAATAACATTGCACTCTTGTTGAATGTCTAAAGCGTGTCGGACAAGGTGAGATCTGCAGGAGAATGTTTGGATACTTACTAAATAATTTTAAGACCCTAATCTTCTAGAGTCTTATTCTGACAGTTTTAAAACAAATGCTCTGAATTTGTAGTTTATGTAACAAAATGAGAACTTTCTTGAAGTGCATTCCCGGTTCAAATCAAGAAAAGAACAAATCCATAAATATTTCTTAGCTTCTCTACACAAAGAAGGTAATTGAATTGTTTGCCTACATACTTGTATACTAACATTTTAACTAAATTAATTGTTACTTCTTTCTGCGAGTTAATTCTCAAAAAGGCAATTGAATTAAGTGATTGTATTGACCATTTGATTGTACTAATCAATTTAGTCAAAACTCTTTGCCTCCTATACTTCATTTGTTCTAAGATGAGGAGTTTAAGGGGTGCCTGGGTGGCTCAGTCGTTAAGCGTCTGCCTTTGGCTCAGGTCATGATCCCAGGGTCCTGGGATCGAGCCCCGCAGGGAGCCCCGCATCGAGCCCCGCATCGAGCCCCACATCAGGTTCCCTGCTCCTCAGGAAGCCTGCTTCTCCCTCTCCCACTCCCCCCTGCTTGTGTTCCCTCTCTCGCTCTCTGTCAAATAAATAAAAATTTTAAAAAAAAAGTAGATTCTTTAAAAAAAAAAGTTGAGGATTTTAAAAAATATTTTAGTTCTCTAACTTTGAGATTCATTTGCAATTGATTGTATGTCATTGCTTTACTGGAAGCATTTTCTTTCTTCCCCAGTGGTCCATAAAATAATGTTGCAATCTATATTCTGTGACATCATCCATTCAAATACAAGCAATAGGTAAGTTACAGAAAGAAGGAAAAACTGGCACCTAATTAATGCGTAGAACATGAACTGATTCACCAACGTGGTTCATATTAAGTTTTACCCCAATGGAATTTTCTCCTACAAGTCATCCACTTTCTAGTTTTCACATGTAGTGTTAATCCCTATCAAGATTTTTCTGAGTCATAATTTATAAAAACTTTCCTGTATCAAGGCCTAATAGCATTTTAGAATCTTTAACCCTTGCAGCAGAAATTCATCAGGAGACCAATAAAGTAGTTACAATGGATGAATTCCCTCAGCAAGTATAGTGATACACTTTTATCTATACAGTCATTGAATCATGCAATTTAAAGGGCCAGACTATTTTTTAGATGATAAAACTAAGGTCTACAGAGATTTAATGAGTAGAGCCTATTCTTCTGTTTAAAGACAGAACAAAAGACTTGCCCAAGAGAACATGAGAACAGGTCATTAATTTAATTCTTCTAGTCATGGTTTATAGGTCAGACAGCAATGAAATTTCAGAAGGAAATAGATGAGATGGAAAAAGTTCTCTCTCCCTAGCAAAGATGAGGTTTTATCTAGTTTGAATCCCAAATAAGAAAGTACGCAACGGGCTGTTCATTTAAGAGTAGAAAAAGAAGTTATCTTTATTTCACACATATATTCTCTTTAATACATTTTTTGAGGAATTTAGCGTTAACACATGTCTTCTGAGGAACTCAGATTACTTTATGTCATCCCTTCCATAAGATTACATTATAAGAGGATCTTATATTGTATTTGGTTATTATACTATGCTGAATTTTTTTTTATTTTACACTTTTTAAAATTTTATTTATATTTTACACTTCGGAAGAGTACTTAATAAATGATATTCCTTGAGAATGATACAATTTGTTGCTCTTGTTGAGCATTTTAAAACTTGTTTTTGTACCACAAAATTTGACATAAAGAAAAGTCTTTGAAACCAGTGATCTTTCAAAGATTGGTATTTGATATTAGTATTTCAAGAACGCAGCTTTATAAATTTGCCTTATGGGGTACACTTTATAACAATTCAGTTAATAAAGTGATAAAATACACGGGTCACAGTAGTTTAAGCATTATTATAGACATGACTTTATTAGCATTCTGGGGAAATACAGAAAGGAAAGTGTCTAACGAATCCAGATTATATTTTCAACTCCAAAGTATTTGCTGACATAGCAAAAATGTTTACATAAAAACGTATTCTTCAAAGAAAATTAGATGATTTCATTTGTAATTCTTGCATCAGACTGAAAATAGCCAATCTGATACCCTTGGGGTAACCTTGGGGTAAACTTGCTTCTCAGAACGTGACTTTAAGGAATGGAGTAGACAGAAGACAACAAGAAACCTAAAGAGTTATTGCTCTTTAAAAAACTGAAATTCCTAATCTAGGCTTTATATTTTCATCCTTGGTTTAAAAAAAAAAAAAGAATTAAAAAAGAAAATATATATATGCCATTTTACTCTGTTTAACCAGTAGTAGGATTTTGTAAAATGTATGCTCACATCTATTATTATAGTTCATTTATTACATGACCACGATATTTTAATTCTTGATCACAATCCCTTTTCAACTGTATAAAAATATATCTAATGACAAATATTTTAGAAATATTTCCTGGGAAAAAAACCAGAGATGTTTACATCACTATATAAATAAACCAGCTATGACTTATACTGAATAGCCTAATAGCTAGAAAAAGAAAACATTTTTTTAAGAGTGTAAAGTTCAGGTCATTCCATTTTTCTTGGAATTTTGTTTTGTTTTTAGTTTGAAGACAGAATGCAATCATAGTTGTTATGTAATAAAACTTTGATGCACATCTTAGGCAGTGTCCTATATCTTTATTAGGAACACTTTTTATTTTCTGGCAGCTTGATTTGGAAGAAGTTGTATTCATCCTCACCAGTAAATAATTTTTGTGTGCATGTGTTTGTGAAATACACAACTTTGGTTTTTCAAAGTGGAACATAAGTATGTAAAACATCTAAGATCAGTGTACCAGTAATTATCCAGAATCACCAGGCACCATGATGGTTTTGCCACAATGTACTCTGCGTACATTCCATTCTTTTCTTCATAACGTTCAGTACAGCAGTAGACTAAGCACCGAGGAAATGGCATTGACTCTTTTTGACCGCCAGGGAAATGCTCCGTTCGTCGTGCTACCCTAAAGAAAGCCGCTAGGCACCGGGAATAAACCTGACTGCATTTTCTCGGTGGAAAGAAAGGACTACAGGGCCGGCCTATCTCATCCGAGATTTGCTACTTTTTATTTTTTAAGGTCTTCTCTTTGTTCGCTTTTAAAATGGGGAAAAACCTTTTCGGCACTGGTGTGAGAAATATACAAACGTCACAAAAGAAAGCGAGAAACCTATTAGTGGCACTGCTGCGGTGCATTTCACATTTCCTTTCCTCCTAAGTAACAGTCCCTTTCATTCTTGAGTTCGGCTGACGCTCCAGCTTTTCAGCCGGTTATAACTTGGGCCACAAGATGGCACTGACCTGCAAACAAAGGAAAACACAGTGACTCTGACTTTGTAAAAGCCTCGTAAAACTGTCTCGCCTTCCCGGGAGTCAAGGAGTGTGGGGATGAGTGCTTACTTTGCTCTGCACCGTACGTATGTGTCTCTAACAATGTGTGGATATGTTTAGTTGCTTTTCTTTCCAGAATTCCTAGGCAACGCACCCCCGAGGTGTATACCCAAGCTGAGGTGTCTGCGGGGGGAGAATCAGGCGCTACTCGCGGGGCGCCGTCACGTGATGCGGGGATGAGGTGGAGTTCGGCTTTAAGGGGGCGTCTCTTCCTATCTTCATCAATCTTTAGGATTTGAGCAGGAGAGATACCAACGGATCTTTCTTCCCCTCTCTGCTCCCTTCCATTACCATTCTTCCCGCTTTAATAAACGGGCGAAAAAGACGAATCCAACAGAGGGGTAAGTTTCAAGTTTACACCTTTTAAGGGACTTTTTCAGAAATCTCTCACTGAGGAAGAAAAAACGTGCGAGTGCCCGAAATTGACTCTGGGAAGCTGAGGTGGGGCACAGTCAGCCTCGCAGTTGGGCTCCCGGTGCAGGCAGGTCGCAAGGTGCGGCAGATGATCGGACAACTCCGGGACTCCTGCCTATAGGTGTGGGCCGACGTCAGTAATCGGGAGTTGGCGGCATCCGCACACCCTGCTCCCCCCGGGTTTCTGCACCGGCGTATGAGTTCTCCCCCTTCGGGTTCTCGTAAGGTCGTCTTCCCCCTGACCTGGCTTATCTTTTGCGTTCTTCTGGAGCTGGCTGCCCGGGCGGCCGCACTGGAGTTTGCGCGGAGGAACCGGTCTCTGGGATGGTCTGGGGAATGGTGGGTTTGGCGGGTGGTCCGCCTGGGTCCCCCTCGCGCCGCACGTGCCCCGCGGGGAGCCGGCGGAGGCGCGGGCTTGCCCGGGGGGCCGCGGACCCGAGCGCAGGCACGGTCCCCCGGACACTTGTGGGTTCCCCGCGTCTGGGCTGGAACGGAGCCCCTCTCCCTAGGTGCTGACCCTTCCAGTCTGTCACTGCGCCCTGGTAGACACCCTGAGCCCTGTCCTTTTATTTCCGAGGTTCGATCATCGAACTCTTTAGCTCCTTTTAGAACAGCGGTGATGGAACCTGGCAGGATTAGGAGATTGGGCATGGACTGGAAGTACAGGTGGCTTAAGAGTGTTCCGTTGGTCTCCAGGTAGACTGGAGAGAGGCGAACGTTTTAAGAACTGATGTTAGTCCACAGAGAACTGAGTTTGGGCTCTGCTTCTTTTTTATTTTGGGTTGGTTTGGGTTTGGATGTTTTGTTTGCCGGTCTCATCGTCACGGGTAGAGATGTTCCTTGATAGATGGGTGGCAAACGGGTGTGTGTGGGAAGGTTAGGGATGAGGAAAATTGGGGGCAATTCACCTAGTTACACAATATGAAAAAGGTGGGCAGGTAAGCGAGCCAATAGGAATTTTGGTTTAACCATGCCGTTTCATTCTTTGGTAACTGCTGGAGCACAGAAAAGCCTAGGGGAAGGCAAAGAGGGAGTGTGTTTTGACATTTCTTTTCACTTTTTTTTTTTTCCCTCCCAGAGCGCTCAGATTTGCCATGCTTACCTGGATCCTGTGCAAAAGCATAACCCGCTAGGTGGCACACAGGCGGGGGGGAGTGCAGAGCTTGCCTGTCTCTACCTGGACAGAAACGGAGAAGCAGTATCTGGCAGTCGCAAGACTCTAGAATGGGCTTCCCTGGTGAACAGAGTAGAAAGCTATCCAGCCCGGTTGCCCACCTATGACTACAGCGGGAGTGCTTTTCGGTGGGTGACTACTGCATTCTGAGTCTTCCCTTACCGTTTTGAGGCAGCTGTCTGTTGAACCAGAAGACGAAGGAACAGAGGATTATGTAACTCACATAGATAAACTAGCGGTAACTTTGGGAGGCTGTATGTAACGAGGCTGGCATTTCTTTTCCAAAGCAAGTAAGGTGAACGGCCAGTTCTGAGGATTTGAAAAAATTTACCTGCTGCAGACTATGACCAGAAACTTGTATTTTCAGGTAGTAACAGCACTAAGAACGGCAAGCAGTGGAGGGCCAGCATTCTCATTGGAAAGGAGAAGGAAATTTCCCTTTGGAAGGGGGCCAAGTTTCCAACTGGTGGTGTCTGTAGTATCTCTATTTTGTCTCTTAATTGCTCATGACAGCTACATTGAGATTTAACAACCTTAAATTTTGCAATGTCTGTAGTTGCATATCTTATTTTAACTATTGGGATAGTAAATATCAAATTATTTTCTTTTGCAAAGATAATGTATGTAAATTCTTTCTCAGTATTATTTTCTGACAACTATTCTTTTTTGAAGTTATACTAAGATAGGCTGAAAATACACATGTTATCCAATGCAGAACTGTTTTACCAAACTGGAATGACTACTGAACATGCACTTAGAAAAGGAGGCTTTGCAAACACTTAAAAAAAATAGTTTACATTTTCTGTATAGCTAAGTTAATACCTACTTAGTGGAAAGACCACTATTCCTTACCAGAGCATGTCCATCAAATATAACTTCAAAGGTATCAGAGTTGAATTTCAGTATTCACCTAAAACCCGCTGCAAGAAACTGCCTTTGTAGCCCACACACTGTATTATGGATTGAATTTTGTCAAAATAAGTCAATGGATTTAAAATTTCTATTTTTCTTCCTTTCCACTGTAGACACCTCAGTCTATGCCTCCATTATCTCTAATCTGTATTATTGTATTAGCCTCTTAATGAATCTCTCTATTTCTTCTCTTTCCTATCTTAAGTCTGTTGAAAACAGCCCCTCAAGTAATAATTTAAAACAAGCCATCTAACTTCATGTCTTTACCAAAGACTCTCCAGTGATTCCTCATCTTCCTCAGAGAAAAAGTCAAACTGCACCATGGAATAAGATCTTACATAATCTATTCCTCTTCTGCTTACCCTTTCTAAGTAATTTTCTACTAGTCTGTCTCTTATTTATTGCACTTCTCATTGCTGTTTGGTACACCAGGTACACTCCAGCCTGAAGGATTTTACGTTCATTCTTTCCACATGGGATGCAGTCCCTGACATATCTACATGGCTTCCTCACTCACCACTTTCAGGTCTTAGATCATATGCCATGTTTTCAGGCAAGGAGAGGCCTTCCGCACCACCTAGTAATAAAGTGCAACTCCCAACCACCCCAGCTCCCCTTCTTTGCTTTATTTTTCTGTATAATACATATCATCTGGCATACTATCCTTTTTACCAATTTATTTTTTTTGGTTTTCTTTGTTCACAAGACTGGAAACTCAATGAGAAAGTCACCATTGTCTCCCCTAAAACCATGCCTGACACAAACTGAGTGTTCAATAAATATTTATTGGCTGAATGAATTTTCTTTCAGAAACAATTCATTTTTTAAACACAAAAATGGAACATTTCCCCCTAATGTTCCTGACCTAATAAAATGAGTATTGTAATTGGCATCCCTCTTGCATGTAAAAGGACTAGGTAAAAGAAGTCCTTTTGTAAAAGTCCTTATGTAAAAGGACTACGACAGAATTCAGTTACTGGCGTTCGAACCTACTATTCCAACTGTGCACCTACTGTGTCAGCCAACGCATTTTTGTTCTAAATCTAGTATTTGCAAGGCGCTATGAGGTATATACACTACCTACCATAAAAAGATTATATCATAATTGGAAGGAGCCAGTTAAGGATTCAAGTGCACTAAATGGTGTTTTGAAAGACGGGTAGCATTTGAATTGGTGATGTGACAGAACACCCAACAAGAGCAATGGCAGAGACAGATGAATGCAGAAACTAAAACAGGCTGGGGGGCACTTGGTGGGCTGGGGAGAGACTGGCCCACCTGGAACATAGCATTCACAATGGGGCTATTGGAGCAAAGAGTGAAAGGCAAAGGGAAGCAAAATGTAGAGGTATTCAAGTGTCAGGCTGAGGAGTGTACTCATAGTGTCTTATTCCAGGATACTTTCTCATCTGGTGGTGCGTGATGACAGGGAGCCATGAGAAGTCATAGGATAAAGAGCATGCACTTTCCTACCATGCTAGTTTTACTTTAAATAATGAAGAGAAACTCACAATTAACTAGTAAGTCATGTTGAATGTCTTGACAGCAACGTGCATATATATGAAGTATGATGCAAACATTTTCTTGAATTCTTCAGTGAGGAATTTGCAAAGAAATGTTAGATTATTACTTCTTCAAGGTTTGTTCTCAGACACTAAGAGACAGAGATTATTCTCTCTGCCTTTGGCATTATTTATTTATTTATTTATTTGTCAGAGAGAGAAAGAGCACAAGCAAGGGGAGTGGTAGGCAGAGGGGGAAGCAGAAGCCCCACTGAGCAAGGAGCCCAATGCGGGACTCGATCCCAGGACCCCGGGATCATGACCTGAGCCGAAGGCAGACGCTTAACCAACTGAGCCACCCAGGTGCCCCCTGCCTTTGGCATTCTTGAGAGATAAAGGTTGATGTCTGCATGAGTCCATGAGCCATTGTCTATTGATTGTTGCACAGAGGAAGGGAGAGCTATACTTCCAAAAACGTTCACACTTGAAATCATTCCTAGTCTTAATTCTTCCATTCTCACTGAATGTTAGAAACCTTTATTTTTATTCTTCAGTTTTATCAAGCCGAGGTGTGGCTTTATAATAAAAAAACCCTGATATTCTAGAAAGCAAAAACACTCAAGGAGAGGTTCATTAGAGGTACCACTTAAAAAGCAAATGTTCATTAAATTTCTTATCTCCTTTGAAATGGAAGTCAATCTGCATGATTTTCTTTATTCTCCCATAAAAAAGAAATAAATGCAATTCCCTTCCTTAACACAGGCACAATGGCCTGTTAATTAACATAAGAAACCCTGAATCTCATATATTTATTTAGCAATCTGGAGGAAATCAGATTTTTTTCAAAGGAGCTTTTAATCTCTAAAAAAACCACTGTCTGTAATTTCTCTTTTTGGTAAGAAAAGAGTCTTTATTTCACAAAATGCTGTGAAAGATCAAAATTACCTCAAAAATGTAGGTCCCTGCATTTTATCAGTATACAGTCTAGTGGGGAGGAAGGATATTTACATGTATAAAACCTTAGAAATCCTTTGAAAGCTTGTACATATTAATAAAATCCTTAAAGTTAGAAGGAACTTCAGTTATAGCCACTTAAGTCTCCTACACAATGCAAGAGCTCCCCAAAACGCTTTCATGTAGTAGCTGCAAACTCTTGTGTATGGAGCACCCCATAGTTTTGCAAGCAGTTGATTTCATTTGATTAAACTTTTGTTCCCCATAATGATGTGAAACTTGTTTTGTTTTGTTTGTAATATACACTGTACTATATTTCCCTTGGTCTTATTTCTAACTTGTATAGTTAGATATAATATTCTAAGCCCAGTTCCCTACGGCACATGCTACCCATTCAAATATGGGAAGACATCTATACCATTCCTAGCCTTTTCTGGATTAAACGTCTTCTGTCCCTTCCACCGTCCTTCATATGACAAAGGTTTTTGATGTTTCACTCTATTGATCATCCCCTTTTGAATATCCTTGTGCTAAATAATGTCTGCCTTAAAGAGCAGGTCAGTATACGGTGGAGCTATTAGTACAACTTAATGAATTAGTTCATTTCTAAAGTAGGAGGAAGAATTAGGGAAATTATTGTTTTTCTTTGTTTCATATCTTGTGTGTTAATCTGTGCATTACATTTTTTGTTACACATTCATATTTTTACGATGTTTAGGAATCTGTTGACAGTCGTTTATATAAGACATATATAAGACTTTGGGCATGAGATTTAGGCACACCTTACTAATTTACAGGCTAAATTTACAGACAAATTTGCAAGTCCAGTTAAAAATATTAGAAGAGTTTTTTTTTTTTTCAAAATGTTTGCAGTGGTTCTGCTACTTTAAAAAGATGTTTATACAGATTACATTTTGTTAATTTATTTCAAGGTCTTCACTTAAAACAGTACTATGAGTCAGAATTCATTTTGACTGCCCTCAATAAAATTAGTAATGCCATTGGTCATTTTCTCTTTACAGATCGTTCAGTTCAAGGGAATGAAGAATTCAGAGTAATTTTGATAAATGGATTGCAATATGGAGAATTAATTAAGAATAAGCTGAACATTTGATCTGCTTTGAAGAAACATATTTTCCATTTGTCTAGAGTAATCTATAATCACCAAACCAATCAAAATGAATTCAACATTATTTTCCCAGGTTGAAAATCATTCAATCTTCTGTAATTTTTCAGAGAATTCCCAGTTTTTGGCTTTTGAAAGCGATGATTGTCATCTGCCCTTGGCCATGATATTTACATTAGCTCTTGCTTATGGAGCTGTAATAATTCTTGGGGTCTCTGGAAACCTGGCCTTGATTATAATCATCTTGAAACAAAAGGAGATGAGAAATGTTACCAATATCCTGATTGTGAACCTTTCCTTCTCAGACTTGCTTGTTGCCATCATGTGTCTCCCCTTCACATTTGTCTACACATTAATGGACCACTGGGTTTTTGGCGAGGCGATGTGCAAACTGAATCCTTTTGTGCAATGCGTTTCAATCACCGTGTCCATTTTCTCTCTGGTTCTCATTGCTGTGGAGCGCCATCAGCTGATAATCAACCCACGAGGGTGGCGACCAAGTAACAGACACGCTTACATAGGTATTGCGGTCATCTGGGTCCTTGCTGTGGTTTCTTCTCTACCTTTCCTCATCTATCAAGTATTGACCGATGAGCCATTCCAGAATGTAACACTTGACGCATTCAAGGACAAATACGTGTGCTTTGATAAATTTCCATCGGACTCCCACAGGCTGTCTTATACAACTCTCCTCTTGATGTTGCAGTATTTTGGCCCACTCTGTTTTATATTTATTTGCTACTTCAAGGTAAGAAAATGTTTCCCCCTACCATTTCCATTTTAACCTTCTTTCCACAGAATTCCACATTGAATTAGTGGTTCTAGTTGAACTTTTTTTTTCCCTCTCTCTCTCTCTGTAGATATACATACGCTTAAAAAGGAGAAACAACATGATGGACAAGATGAGAGACAATAAGTACAGGTCCAGTGAAACCAAAAGAATCAACATCATGCTTTTGTCCATTGTGGTGGCGTTTGCGGTCTGCTGGCTGCCCCTTACCATCTTTAACACTGTGTTTGATTGGAATCATCAGATCATTGCAACGTGTAACCATAATCTATTATTCCTGCTGTGCCACCTTACAGCAATGATATCCACTTGTGTCAACCCCATATTTTATGGATTTCTGAACAAAAATTTCCAGAGAGACTTGCAGTTCTTCTTTAGCTTTTGTGATTTCCGGTCTCGGGATGATGACTATGAGACAATAGCCATGTCCACCATGCACACGGATGTTTCCAAGACATCTTTGAAGCAAGCAAGCCCAGTCGCATTTAAGAAAATCAACAATGATGATAATGAAAAAATCTGAAACTCCTGTAAGCATATGGTCCCAGATGACATCTGTCTAAAAACAAGCACAATCTCCAACATCCTTTGTTACCTGTTCCCCCAAGGGAATGAGGTTGTACTCATTTAAGAAAGACCAAGATTTGCTTGTCTTGCTTTTTACTGCTTTTATTGTAGCTGTCTAATTACACTGGGACAAAATGTACGGGCTTTGGAATCTTCTGGGCAATAGTTTTGACCAGATATCCTTGAAGTGCTTTTTGTAAACTTCTGCATATAATATGAAGAATTTTATATTCAATTTGTTGGAATTAAGTTTCTTTAGAGTATTACTATTGACTGACTTTAGAAGCACTACATCTGAAACTCATTAGGTTAGGCCATCCTGGGTTGATTAGATTGGATGGTCATTATGTTGGGCAATCCTGATGTAATGATAGACATATTTTAGTCTGTTACAGAGGGGACAGCATACAAAAGCAGCATTCAAGATGTGGAGCTAAGCCTATGTCTTGCAGACCTACAGTCTGAAGTCACTGAGGAGTGGTTTGCATTTTTCTTTTAAGATTTAAGACAGGATTTAATTTGCTCCTGATTATCACTTGAGATGAAAATGCATAAAACATATTTCTCAGCTGTGAATATCATGGGGAATTGGGCCACCCACAAGAATTAAGTGGGAAAGCAGTTTTCTAACTTCAAAACTATTTTGGTACCTGACAACCAAAGGATTTCAGAGCAATTAATTTAACAAGCAAATCAGTATTGCAGCAAATAGTTGAATTATATTCATCTGAATTGTTGGTCCAGCAGTTTTCCATTCTTCACAGACTGTTCAGTGTTTGTCGAGCTTTCTAGCATAAATCTATATGTGACTCAAAAGGCATTTCCAGCTTACAATATATAAAAACACAAAGTGTATTTTCCATACATCAGTGCCTACATAGTAACTCATTTTTAACTTTTTCAATGTCCATTCTTCAAAGAAGGACACCAAAGTATACTGTTAAAAGAATGTTCACCCTGGCTAGCAGGGCTAAATACCTGAAAACTGAGAACAATTCATATAGCCCATATTAACTTGTATCAACTGTGTGCCTTGTGGAGTCTTATAAATAATGTACTTTATAGAGTACTAAGTGGTTGTGTCATGTTAATATACTTAATTTTATGTATTCTGTAATCGTGATTGAGCCTCAGAATCATTTGGAGCAAAGATATTTTAAAGAACAAGATATAACTTTGGTGTATTATGAAAGTATTAAATGTGTTTGATTTTAGAAAGACAGACATTTTCTGTATTCAAATTGGTTTTGCTTTTTCTGAGTAGTCTCTTTTATGTCTCTCTTCAGTTTGTTTCTTTTTTCTTTTGACTCATGGTTTCCCTCCCAATGATGTTCCCACAGCATCCTATTTCTGCTTGTTAATGAAACATTTTCCACCCTGTGGTCTTCCTCCTCTGCTTCTTGAAGCTTCTTGGAGGCAGGGGCTATTTTATACAACTCTGTCCCCAGTGCATTTACCACAGTGCCAGGTACTTAAAAGTTTTTCAAAAAATATTTCTTAAACAAACAAATGAATAAATAATAACTAAATTTCCTCCCTTCTCATTTATGATCATAAAGACTTTGCATCTTGAAACTTTTTGGGGACTCCTCCTCCTAAGTTCATATTTACCAAGGAGATGTTTGCTCTTTTCATTATCTTATTTTCCCTTCTAAACTAAGCAAAAATGACATTTTCGATTTCAGAAACTTGCACGTTTAGTCCTATAATTCAAACAAATATCAAACTTTTCACATGGTGAAGGTTCATATGAATTCAAATTCTACCTAATAATGACTTTCTGTTAACTGAACAAAGAAAAGAATTCTAAAACCCACTTTTAACGTACATTGGAAAATATCATCATCTTTCCTTACCCAAACCTGGAATTTTAAACGTTTTTCTGCTTCGGGGGACTAATGGGAAATTTTATCTTTCTCCACTTAGGTGCTATGGAACCAAATTGCTACTTGAGAACAGCCTTAATACATAGGTGCTTCTTTGTCAGCACATTTGTTGAGATGGCCATTTCTAAGACTCTCACTCAGCTGTGAGGCCGCTGATTCCTTATCTTTACATAAATAATGAACTGAATATAAAATTCTTTTTTATCCATAGATGTCGATGAACTATAATAAAGCCTAGGGTCAACAACAGATCCAGAGTGGTTCAAGAAGAAATAAATGTGCACATTAAATACCAACTATGGAACCACTGGGTTTTCTTAAACCCAAGAACAAATCAATCAACTGTTTTAGTATAAGAGCATTATGACGATGTAGTTTCTATAAATTTAGAGTAAAATGATAAAAGCTAGAAGTTTTAAACACTCAGCATGTGCCAAGTATTATGTCAAATATTTAAGTACCTGTGAGGATGCGTGACTAATAGGACCACTTCACATAAGAGGAAACCAAAGTTCAAGTTATAAAATTTGAACCCCACACTGAGTAACAGGTGGAGCAAGAATCAAGCCAAGGTCTGTCCATTGCTACTAAACTAACAGTGAGCTGACCCTATGATAGAGTTTTAGAAATACTTTGTTTTTCTCTCTTTCCAAGTTAAATTATTAGGGCATGGTATTACCATTCACCTTCTTTATGATTTTGGCTGTAGAAAGAAATGAAGTGAAGAAAAGTCGAGAGAAAATGGCCATTAGGATTACATGTATCTCTAATTCCCTTCCGAATTAGAGAATTCTGCTTGAAAATGTAATCTGATTATAGGTATTAGTTTTATTTCTTTACTGTTAGCTGGAAATTCTCACCCCTTTTCTATTCCACAAAATGTTGCCTTTTCCAGAAGGTCATAAAGAAGCATACCTTGTTTTATTGCACTTTATTGTGCTTCACAGACATGGTGTTTTTTTACAAATCAAAGTTTTGTGGCAACCTTGTATTGAGCAAGTCTGTTGGTGCCATTTTTCCAACAGCACTTGCTCACTTCATGTCTCTGTGTTGCATTTTGGTAATTCTCACAATATTTCAAACTGTGTCATTCTTACTATATCTGTGCAGTGCTCAAACTTCTTCCAGGGAAACCTGCTCATATGGATTCACTGGATATGCACAAAATATCCCCCAGAGACGAAGTCACTGATCTATAGACCTGTATTGATGTCAGGCTTTGCATTTATGTCTTATATTCCTAAGGGAGATAGAAGAGAAAGATTTGTTGATTAAATTGCTTCTTGGGAATGTTGCATTAAAATATGTGTCTGACTCAAGGTCTGTTACCAGATGCTTTTATTTCTACATTAACTCATGATATTACAAAGGAGTAAACTGATACCCATAGGAATTGAAACGCAGATTTATTTGATTGCAAAATCCATGGATTGCTTTTTTATACCTCTATGCCAGCAAGCATTGGAATGAAATCATAAAGTTTAATTATTTTGTTTATTTTTCATGCAATCCATATTACTGGTTGAAAAGTGAGGAAAAGTAATCAAGCAAAATATTGTGATTTTCCCAAATGGCCAAAAAAAAAAAAAAAGTGTGACTTGTTTTTCTTTTTCTTTTTTTTTTTAATCAAGTTGTGCTAGCAGTTTTGGCCCCTACTTTTTAATTTTCTTTTTTATCTTGAGCTTTAGTATTTTATAGCTTTTAAAAAAATTAGTGAAATGAGTAAGCACCCATATCAAGCATTTTCCCTCATTCCATTAGTTTTGTTTTATTGCTTATTTCCTTTTGAAACACTACTGTTCTTGCATTCCTTCTAGGTAATCTTAATAGACTTAAATGCAATGCTTGTAATGATCTCCCTGGGCCTCAGCTCTCTTATTTGCAAAATGAGGAAATTAGACTAAATATCTGTATCTTATATAGATATATCTACTATATATGATATATCTATATTTAGGCTAAATAATTTCTATCTTATATCTAAGATAGACTTAAGCTCCAAAATTATGTGATTCCATTTAAGTAAATCTAGGAATAAGTTAATAGAAAGGAGATACCTGGTTAGGGACTGTTTGCAGGTAAAATGTTCTACCTGTAACAGATCTTCTCAGAGGAGGTATCTTGAAAAATCAGGAGAGACATGGTAGAGCGAAGTAAGAGAGAAGCCTGTGCCATACATAAGGACAGACTGGAGAAAGATGCAGATGCTAAAATGCATGACCAAAGGGAAACAAGTTGGGCTGGAACAGAAGACTGAGGAAGACTGGGGGAGTCAGGGGTACGGAGGAACCAACAAGGGGAATGCACCTGAGTTTCCAAATGGACAATATTTTTAAAGGTCATATAAAAGACATTTTGAAACTGGGAACATAATAAGATATTTAGAAATATATTTGGGTATGAATGAAGTTGGGGAGAGGAAAGCAAATTGCCCCCAACTAACAGACTGCATGCACAGTGGAATTCAGGTGTAACATGGCCTATACTGAGCATAGGATCACAGAGGCCAGAAGATTGTGTTGAGGTTTGAGGAAATAGTGAAAATCAGTAGTTAGTAAGTATTAAAAGGAAGGCAGTGATCTGTCTTTCCAATAAAAGTTTTGAAATTGGAAAACATTCAATTAAAAGTACTAATACAAAATGACAAACAACAATAACAAAAGCAATAAAACAACCTCATTCTGAATGAAGGAAAGGGGCCATGGGGAAAGAAATCCTTTGTCATCAATGACTAGCAGTACGAATTATTTCAGAGAGGCTAATAGTTAGTTACCAAGTGAGCACTTAGAACCCCACAACAAGCCGTAAGTTAGATAGTGCTCTTATTTTAGATAAGGAAGCTGCAGCTCACAAAGACTACATAGCATCCCCCAAAATCACAATTAGTCATTTGCAAAAGCTGAATTTAATCCCACATCTGGGTGACTCCAAAATGTGTCTACTTAAACACTGAATACTACCCACTAGCAGGCAAATGGAAGTTTTAAAAATTGTATACATGGCTTTCAGCTTGAGCACATCCATACAACTAGACTTTTTTTTTTTAAGGACATATTATTTTTCTATTTAAGTACTTTTTTTTTTACTTTTGAGAGAGAGCGAGAGCGGGTGCAAGAGTGAAAGCAGATGGAGGAGCAGAGGGAGAGGGACAAGCAGACTCCACACTAAGTGCGGAGCCCAACCCAGGGCTTGATCCCACGACCCTGAGATCATGACTGGAACCAAAACCAAGAATCAGACACTTAACCATCTGAGCCCCCCAGGCACCCCACAAGTACTTTCTTAAGGGAAAGATTGTACCTGAATATAAATAAATAATGTATTAAAAATGTAAAAATCACAGCTTGAATGAAATTATAATTTATAATTAAATAGCCATGATAATACTCTAAGTGCCTCAACATTACTACAGTGTCTTCAAAGAAGTCACTCAAATAAGAAAAACAAGGTGATAATCAAGTAAGCTAATACAGTAGAAACTGTGGCTCTCAGCATACAGTAGAATCAGTTCAGTTCCATTCAACTAATATTTGAGTAATCTAAATAGTGCCCAATTCTCTGGAAGATGCTGGTAAGAAAACAAGACTGCCTTTACTCCTAACAGATGTTAAATTCATGGAAGATATGTACAGAAATGTATCATTTTAATATAAAGCAGGGGTGAAGTTAACCCTAAACATATATTTACACTTTTCTGGGAGGTACTTAACTCAGTCAGACTGAAGGAAGCTTCTTGAAGACATCTAAATGAAGCCTTGAAAGTGAGCAAGAGCGTTAGCTGTGTTAAGGCCCGCTACCGCATGACAGGAAGAATTACAAAGAATCTTAATCTGGCCAAATCATATAGCATACAACAATTATTAGAATTTTTTTGCTTTCTTTTCTTTGCCTATGTTATACATAATTTATACATTCAAAACAAGTTATTTTTAAACATTTAGTAAGAACAAATATTTTAGCTGAGGGAAGAGCTAACATTAATCAAAGATAAGTGTTAATAAAATCTCAGCTAATGTTCATGTTGCTGGAATAATAATTAACATATTCAAGAATTATTCTTTTTTTAATTTAAATTCAATTATCCAATGAATAGTACATCATTAGTTTTTTATATAATGTTCAATGATTCATTAGTTGCACATAACACCCAGTGCTCATCACATCACAAGCCCTCCTTAATGACCATCACCCAGTTACCCCATCCTCCCACCTCCCTTCCTGCAACCCTCAGTTTGTTTCCCGGAGTTAAGAGTCTCTCATGGTTTGGCTCCCTCTCTGATTTCTTCCCATTCAGTTTTCCCTCCCTTCCCCTATTGTCCTCTTAACTTGTTGGTTCCAAGTCCAATTGTTAGAGGATGTTTCTTCCTTGAATACAGCTGTTGGCACATGAGCAGCACCTAGGATAGCGCAGGAGATTCAGAAATTTGTTAAATATATTTAGGTTGCTTAAGAAGATGTGGTCTTATTGTGGATATCTACGGTGTAAGTTAGAAATTTGAAAGCAATAGGTACATGTGACACCCAAGTGTACTTTCATTTGCTTTAAGCAGAAATTTGTGTTTATTTAAACAATCAGCTTTAGGAACAAGAGCCATTTTATTAGGATGAAGAGGCTCTCTTGGGGACCTCTTTGGGTATGCAGCTAGTTATTATTTTTAACTACACTGACTAACTTTTGTTTGACAAGGCTATTCCATTGCAGTTTGCTGTTCAAGTCACTTTGGCTATTAAATAATAACCAAGTAAACTAAGTGGAGATCAAGTGGGCATAACCTACAAGTGAGTTGCACTAGGGAGACCCAGTAGTATGGTTGACTTGATACTAAGGCTAAAGAAATATCATTGCCTTCTCCTCCCATTGCTATTTATGTTACCTGACAAATGACCACACACACAAGAAGATAGTATCCCTGAAGGAGCACAAAAGACCATTTTCGGTGTCACTTAAAGCGTGCCACTAAATCTCTTAAATTTTGCCTTCATACCTTGTATTAAGTAAATTTACTACCCCTTGTTGCCTAGCCCTTCCCTAACCTGATAGGTCTCTAGCTGAAAATACTTCTATTTAAACAATGTTTTGCAGGTCATAAAACAATTCTATATAATTTGCTTCTTTTAGATACTTTCAGCAACTCTTTTTTTTTAATTTATTCATTTGAGAGAGAGACAGAGCACAAGCAGGGAGAGGGGTAGAGGGAGAGGGAGAAGCAGACTCCCCGCTGAGCTGGGAGCCCCAACATGGGGCTCGATCCCAGGACCATAGGCTAGTAAGTGGTGGATCTGGCACTTGAAATCACCTTTTGACTCTTTGGAATAATTATCAACATGAATGATGATTGGAATCACATATTTTTCCATCAAAGTATACATGCTTAGCCTATATCTTAGACTTTCTGGGGACTAAGCAACCGTAAGTAAATTTTGAAGGCTTCCATAACTTATTCTGATGCTGCACCCTTGGTTAAGATCCACTGCTTCCTCATTTGATTCTTTATTATACATATCTTCTCAAACTAGACTCAGATTATCAGAATCACTCATCATCTCTTAAAAATGACTTCTTGACTTCACTACATTTAAACATGTTACATGGATTCTGACCATGCAAACCATTAATAATTTACTATTAATAATTATGAAACTTGACTAAGAGATACCTAGTTTTTACTATCCTGTAATACGCTCAATATGTTTTTATATTATAATTACTGTAAACATTTTAAGCATGTACAAAGTTATATCAATTAATATTGGTACAGAAATAGATAAATACATAAACAATTGTACAAAAGAGTCTGGGAACAGATATCCACATTTTAATTAAATGAGTATATACCCATTCTTTATAATTTTCATTATTGTTGTTGCTATTGTTGTTGTTATTGACAGAAGTTATTCTAAAGAGCAATGAGTGAGTCCCTATCTCTCAATACAGTTACTTGTATGAAAAATGGCACCCTCCCCCCAAAAAGAAATTGCTCCCTACCTCAGACCATACAAAGAGCCACAGCTCCAGGTAGATTATAGACTTATATGTGAAAGAAAAAATTTTTCTTCTAAAGCTTTTAGAAGATACTATAATGGACTACCTTCATAACCTTAGGGTTAGGGCAAGATTTCCTTCTTAAATGAGACCAAAAAAGCATATTCAAGAAAGAAATTAGTAAATTTGACTACATTAAAATAAGAACTCTTGTCCATTAGAAGACATAATTATAACAGTGAAAATACAAGTCACAGAATGGAAAAAATTGTTTGTAAGTTATACCAAAGTACTGGTATCCAATTGGGAAAACTGGAAAAGAATGGAACTGAACCCCTATCTATGCCATACACAAAAAAAATCAACTGAAAATAGGTGAAAGACTTGAATATAAGACCTGAAATTGTAAAACAATTAAAAGAAAATATAATGGGTATGATCCTTGACATTGGTCTTGGCAATGATTTTTTGGATTTGACACCAAAAGCAAAGGTAATAAAAGCAAAGATAAGATGATGTGAGGAGCACTGGGTGTTATACACAACTGACAAATTATTGAACACTACATCTGAAACTAATGATTGGCTAATTGAATTTAGATTAAAAAAAAAAGCAAAGATAAGTGGGACTGCATCAAACTAAAAAGCTTCTGCACAGCTTCTGCATACAACAAAATGAAAAGGCAACCTATGGAATGGGAGGAAAATTTGCACACTATATATCTGATAAGGGGTTAATGTTCAAAATACATAAGGAACTTCTACAACTCAATACCATAAAAATAGTAACAAAAACCAAATAACCCAATTTAAAACTGGGCAAAGGACTTAAATACACATTTTTCCAAAGAAGGCATTCAGATGGCCAACAGGTACATGAAATGTGCTCAGTGTCAC